CTCCAGGTTGAGCTGTTGTTCAGCATCTTAGCTGTGGAGGGCAGTGTCACTGGCCCTCATATGTGGGATCCGAACCAGGGCCCTCTGGCATCCCAAGCGAGTTCTTAACCATCGCGCCACTCGGCCGGCCCTAAGAGTTTCTTAATTGGGGAATTGGGGGAGGGGAACAGCATTGGGGAATCGAGGAAGGGGAACGGACAAGTTGCTGTCCTTTTGTCCTTCAAGTTGTGGAGGATGTCGCTCCACTGGCCCATGCTGGTATCATCATTGTGCTCTTCCTGGGTGAGGCAGTCACTCACCGGTCATTGGACGGCCGCTCATGGCAGCTCACGAAAGCGCACGCCCGCTGCCGGCCAGCCCTACTTGTAGCCTATGCCGTCGCCAGCAACTCACGGCAGCCCAGCTCCAGGTCGAGCTGTTGTTCACCATCTTAGCTGTAGAGGAGGCAGCGTCACTGGTCCTCATATGGGATCCAAACTGGGGCCCTGCTGCTCAGAACTGCCGTCCCAAGCCAACTCCTAACCAACGCGCCACATGGCCGGCACAATCACATGTAATTTAAAGAAAGCACTCAAACATCTCATTATATTGCACTGTTTAAGTAACCTAAGATTGCAAACACTGAAGTATGAATATTATAAGGGCCATCTTCTCCAAGGAAATAAAGAAACTAAGTGATGAGAATGCCACCTGGTATTCCCCAATTTGGAGTGAGAGGGAGACTCACTTAAAAGGTAAATAAGCTTGGGCCAGCCGAGTGGCTCAGTTAGTTAAGAGTTGGCTTAAGATCGCGAGCTCTGAGCAACAGCGCCGCCGGTTAGATTCCCACATGGGCCCGTGACACTGCGCCTGAGCTGAGCTGTTGCTGAGCTGCCAATAGGTGGCAGGATGGCTCAGCTGGTGTAACAACAAGGCTGTCTGTTCGATGGTGGGCTATGCCCATCTGCAACTAGGACTGAACTCGGCACTTTGAGCTGAGCTGCCGCCCGGATGGCTCAGTGGATAGAGCGTGAGCTCTTAACAAGGCTACTGGTTCGACTCCCGCATGGGATAGTGGCTATGCCCACCCGCAACTAAGACTGAACTTGGCACCATGAGCTTAGAGGCCACGAGCTGCCCACAGGAAGCCAGATGGCAACTGGCACCCTCCACAACGAAGACTGAAGAACAACAACTTGGCCAGTCCCCTTCCCCAACACCGTTCCCCTCCCCCAGTTCCCCAATAAAACCTTAAAAAAAAAAAAAGGTAAATAATCCTATTATCACTGTTGAGTAAAAGAATTGTGGAGATCTTTATTCATTTCATCAGTCTGTTTCAAAAGACTACTAAACTATGCCTTTGTCATTCATCTATTAGAACAAGCGTGTGAAAACCTTCTGTGTGCAAATCACAACAAACAGAAAATCAGGCACTTACATAAATTAAAGAATTCAGGAAATGAAAGACTGGAAACTATAGAGAGAAAGAAAGTATTAAAGTTTTACAGAGCTTTGGTTAAATTGGTAACACTCTGAATTAGAAAGGAAGGACTAGATGTCAGACAATTGTCAACTGGGTCTTGACTGATATTTAGCAAATCCTGCTATTCTGATGATCTGCAGCTGGCCACCCTCTGTCATTTTGGTGTTTATCCTGTATTTCTCCCACTCAAGTTTCCTTAAATAACTCCCCAGTTTTTATACAAGGAGTACCTTAGAGTGCCAGGAACGATGCCAAGCTTAGAAAAATTTCACAATAAAGTCCATTTCTCTGAGCTTGAATATTCAAGCCTGAAAGTACCCTCCACCTCCATCTCCCACCACACCATCACTGACTGCTTCCTGCTGTCCTCACACTACACAGGGTGCTCTTCCCAACACAAGCCTCTGAAATCTAAAGTCTACCCACTCTTCAAGGTCCAGCTCAGATGCCTTATCTTCCAAGTGTTCCCAGGCTATGATATTAATAAATCTTTATATTTGCAGATTCCTCATAAAATGTGATTTGAACTCTTTAGAGGACCTTAGAATCTGACAATAACTTAACACTTAATATCTAGTCCCAATTGGCCCCACTTAAATCCTCTTTAAGCAAGGCAGAAAAGAATCAAAACTCACTCAATAATAAAACAATTTACAGGAAAGATTAACTAAACAAATCAGTTAAAAGTTTCATTATCTGAAAAATTAAGCCTGAGATTAGGCAGAAATTTTTAAACTGCAATATTTGTTCAGAACACTTGTTTGTCTCTGTACTCTCTTGCTTAGAAGTCTCATGTACAACCTCAGGAAAGCATGATTGTTTTTTTTAGTATCAGTTTTGAAGTGGTAATTTTAGTAGGCATTTATGAAACTCATTCATAAATTTGTCCATATGGGATAAAAACTAAGTTTATTGTATATGATGTTAAACATTTATTTTTACTTATCCTAACTTTACATCATTGTACCACATATATCTTCTGTTTTTCTGGAGGATGACTTCCTTGGGAAATCACCTCTCTATTTCTGTGAATATATGGCAGGGGTTAGCAACATTTATGTAAAGGGCTAAATAATGAACATTCTAGGGCTTGCAGGTCAAGAGGCAAAATTGAGAGCATTATGCAGGTATTTACATAAAGAGAAAACAAATTTCCAAAATATTTTATTGACAAGGTTAAAAAATATAACAGTTGAGTAGAAAATTTTGTAATACAGGTCTACTAATGATTAAGAATGGAATTTCTTTACTTAATTAGGTTCAAAAGTTTATGACCCGTATCATTAAAATTTATTGTAAATGTTTATCTGTAATGAGATTTTATGTCTTTAATCTTAAAAAAATTTCATTGTCCTACTGCACCCCACCTGGGAAGTGAATCATCCCTTTGCCCAGCAGATCCACATTACGTGTATATACCCTACCCGCCCATTAGTTACTTAGTAGCCACCTGGTTATCATATCCACTGTTGTAGTAGCACAGTGCTTGTGTTCATGTAACCGTCATTTTAGTTAATAAAGGCCCCAAAGCCATTCACATACTTTTATCACATATATTGTTAAAATTGTTGTTTTATTATTA